TCAAGCTTACTTAGCGCGAACAACGCGACCATTTAGCGAGAAATTGCTTTTAATGATCCATCTTCGGACCATTACAACCATATTTAGGGCTAAAAAAGGAGCAAAATTGACTAAGTTAATAAAAGCTACGTAAGTGGAAAAGCAAAACAAGTTAATTACATGTTACGGAGTTTCGCTTAAGGCCGTTGACCACAGTAGTCTCCGTTTTCGGGGGCCAAGGAAGCTGAAGAGCCCGGATTAGCATCTTTTGTAAGCATAGGGACGGTTGAAATGAGCCGTCGCAAATGTAGGAAGACGTATACCTTTCTATCTGTGTTATCGAACCTCGTATACTATTCTAAAGGCAGATTTGAATCCTCCTGATACGCACTATCGACAATATGAGCTATACTGGAGCTGTCAATGGTCCCAGGGCCACATTGCTGCAACCAGCGTGGGCAGTCTTTTTTCACACGTTTGGACAAGAGCCGCGCCGCAAGACCGATATACGCTGCTTCACAGGCACATTCGAGCTGATAAATAATCATGGAGGCGGTCAGCATGGGCAGTTTATCTCTGTTTTGTGAACGGACGAGTGGTTTAGCTGCCTCATTCTTGCCAAACCTAACATCTGCCATCACGCTTCACTCAGCTGGACTGCGTGAATCGAGGCTAAGTATCGATCGCACACCTCACCTCAGGCAGTCGTGAATGTCACATCACCGTGTATCAGAGCACTGATTCAGCAGCACCCTAGGCCTTATACGCGATGTGCGTCTGTAGCACGCGCTCACCACTGCATAGCCAAGTTGATTCGGGTCGTTTTGTTAAGGTTAGGATACGTCACGGCTGTACGGAAGGTAGGGCACTAGCAAGTCTCCATGTTTCGACGTTGTGACGCCCCTACGATACTCGGCGTGAATTCGCAGACTGGCACTTCAGGTAAGCAAACCACAGCCGTAGTACAGGCCTAGTACGCGGAAGAGCTGTGCTACACTTCCCACTACGCTTGTTCGGGTGACATCCACTGAGGCCCCACGCGCTATCGGTACAAATGTCCACAGCCGAATTCGTAAGTGCCGGACATGTGGGCGGTGACCAGACACGGGCACGGCCACAATCATGGGACAAATTATGTCGCAACAAGACAAGCGAATTCACCACACCGAATGGGGTCAAATGCATGGAGGATTTGATGTTTGGTTTAAATAGCCGTGATGACATGTTTTCCCAGATCGTCCTGGAAAGCTCATTGTGCCAACACCAAATAACACGAAGAGGTCTGTATGTGCGTCACTCGTTCGAAGTGAGGAACTGGATACTGACAGTGTATGAAGAAGGAAACGACTGGAAACAACTCACCAATTTACTTCACGTGAAATGGTACACTTGCCGCAATTGGATAAAAGTGCTGGAGTCGATCGACCCAGGAGGTTGACACGGGGGTGCTCGTTGCAGAACGATGACATAGAGCCACGTTGACTCTCTGGTTGACTGGGTGTCAGCGGAACCCACCATAACCCTTGCAAAACTCCGCTTACGCTTGAAACCTGAGCTCGACATTGAAGTCTGTACCAGTACTGTCGCCAGATACCTCGACGGGCGATTGATAACGATGAAGAAGTTACATACAATTCCTGATTCCCTGAACACGCAGGTGAACAAACAGCGACGGAAAATGTTCGTCCTGAAGCTATTACATTTTCAAGCGGAAGGAAGGGAACCGATATGGATCGGCGAGACGAACTTTAATCTCTTTTGCGCACGAACTCGGGGCCGTTCACCACGTGGGAGCCGAGCACAGTGTATTGTGGCGAACAGTCGCGAACAAAATGTGCACGTTGTCGGAGCCATGACAAAGGACGTAATGATAGCGTCCTCCGTTTTACGCGGAAGATACAATAAACAGTTGCTAGATGCACAAGGTGCGGATGTTATCGAACGGTGCCTGCTGATTTGTGACAACGCGCCGTGCCACACAGATTTGGAAAACTTGTTCCAGGAAGAACAGTACCGATCAGGGAGGATGTTACGATTATTCCCATACTCTCCGGCGCTGAACCCTATCGAGGGGATCTGGAGTGTAATCAAAAGTTACGTCAAGTAAGCGATGAGGAGCAGGTATGGGGAAATGCTCCGAGGGGACCCTGATTGTATTCTCAGCCAAAGCGAGTGGAGTATCAGAGTCCTGAAACAGGTTGTGTCAGAGGCACGATTACGTGTGACACCGCGCCACTGCGAGAACATGGTTCAGAACGTGACGGGGAATTACGGACGTGCAATTCACATGTCCGATTTGTAACTAAGTATCATCTGATTAACATATACATATACATAGAAGCCTTGACGTAGTGGTAGGTTGAACTCACGGCATGCCGAACAACCTCCTCGTGGTGCCAACTGGGTGGTTCGGGATTTTCCCGTTCCAGCAAATGGTTCGGCGACAGTGTTCCAGGACGCGGTGGGTTCTCGTCTGGCAAGCGTTCTCCCTATAAAAAGTCACATATGTCCGTTTAACAACACTGTGACGTGGCGGACGTGACTCGCCACTAAATAAAGTCATTGCCCCTTGCTTCATCCTGGCGAAGCATTGTATTCCAGCAACGTTATGCTGTAGTTCTGAGGAGCATTGGGCCCCTATTTGACAAAGGAACAAACGAAAAGCGTATGAACTGAGCAATTAGAAACCGGCTCCCAATGGGCGCGATTCCCTGAATTCGCTCCGCTGCCTTGCGGACAGGCTATTCAGCCAAAGGCTCGGGGTGGTGTCCCCTAAGTCAACACACTACTTCGGCTTGGGCAACCGGGTAGTGTCTCGCTCTCTGACGAAACCATGGACATTGTTGTGTTGTTTTCCTTTACTATTTTTGTACCTTCGTTTGAATCCCATGGTTTCTGATGGCATTATGTCAATTCGTAGACCTTTGAATATATATATATATATATATATATATATATATATATATATATCTATATCTATATAGCCTGTTGAACTGGCTCAGACTTGAGGTACGACACGTAGAGATTGCAGCAAACGCGCGTTAGCACGATTGCGCACGACGCTTTTCGCCAGCAACACGCCTCACCTTGTATACTGGACGTCGAAAATACAATACTCGTAACGATACGTCCTCATTGTTCCTACTGTACCGAACCGTGATAACAGGGGCGATATCATCTAATACTCCATCTATATACTTGTCTCCGTCAACTGTTGGTGCAATTTTTCCTTAAGTACCAAGGCGTCCCGGTAAATTCAAAACGGTAAACCGTTCAGACCGGACAGCAAGTTACTCGGCTTAATCAACGAAGGAGCTCACGGTGAGTAACGAAAGCAATGAAGTACGATCTCTCAACCCCGTTTGAATGTCCCAGCGAGCCATTTTGGAAGGAGCCGGTGTACAGTACACCTTCCAAGACTAGCAGACACGACATTTTCAATTGTTCGTCCGATACCCGAACGCCGTCAGACCGACCACCGTTCGACAGCTACTCCACGGCGCCCACATCGAACGGGCAGCCAATCCCTTGGCTGCAGAACAATACTGCAGAAGGGAATACACCAGAACCCGAGGTCCTTGGACCAACATCTCCCAAGATGCCTCGGTTCGACAACCAACAACCAGCGAAGAAAGACGCTTCATCGATGACGTCAGAAAAGGGGATAACATCTACACACTATCAATTAACTATCCAAAACTGTTCTTGCGTTATTATTCAAATACACGGAGAAGTATTAATCTCCACGGACCGAGAACAGACCGCCGTGAGAAGACTTTCGTCGAATGGCACCACGGGGAACCCGGGAAAGGAAAATCCACCTACGCTCGAACGCAATCTGACAACGCACAAACCTATAACTGGAAGAACCCCACCCCTTGGTGGGACGGATGAGGGTCAGGAACTGGTCATCATAGACGACTATGATGGGCAGTGGCCCATACAATACCTACTCTATCTTTTCGACAAGTTTCCACACAAGGTACTGCAAGGGTTACACTGTCGATTTCCTATCGAAACGGATCATCATTACCTCCAATTTCCCCCTTTCTTACTACCCCATAGCCCCTGACATTCGTAAAAACGCTCTAATTCGTAGAATTGATGTAATTAAAGAATATATTTAATGTACAACACTTTGCCTTCTCTACTGTCCTACTGCCAAGGCTGTTGACGCTAAACGGCGATCGCGATACTGAACGTAGCAGGTTACGTATAGGGTGCCCACACTTGGGCACCATTTACGGAACTCCGCGGACATATTGCTAAACTGTAGGAAAAACCCAGTATGCAACTGGGTTGTATCCGACAACCAGGGATTGCGTTTAGCCGCCAGACCGATACCGTCCACCCATAGAGTTTTGGGTGACAACGCGAAATCCCGATGAACCACGAATTCGCGATAATACCCTCTAGCACGTACGCAATCCAACTCCGTACAATCAGCGTATTCGCCAAGATAGCGTAAACCGCATATACCTAGCCGTACGCCACATTTATTATACTGATTCAAAGATAACGTTCCTCTGCGTAGATCGCTCCGGAACCGAATATTTATCCCTCGGATTCGTTACCTCTCATACATAGAAAGCATAGCTGTCGCCTGAGACATGTAATCAATCCTGGGCGCAATCTCGAACAAAGGCTTATTAGTGTCCATAACCACCTTATAAATGAATTTATGGCAAACAAAACGTCGTCCTCTTCGTCGACGAAACCGCACACGACGAGCCCTACGAAACCGGCGTCTATAAAGACGCCTTCGAATCCGATAGAACCTTGAACATCGCAGGTAACGGCGACTTACACCTCTTCTCATACTCCTCCAACACGTACTCCCTGAACTCTAACAGCTGGGATATCACGGAATTCAGATGATCCAACACAGACTCCAAAGTCCTCTTCACCTGCGGTGAGCAACAACGTCCCTTGCAAGAAACGTAATGCTTCCGCCACGCTCCTATCTGCGTAAATAGCTGCTCTTCCGCACGCCGCCACCTAGGGATTTCGTCGCACATTTGTGCGAATCCTTAAATTCTACTCAATATATACCCCATTAACCCATCCCGCCCTAAATATACCCAAATAATACATATAAACTACTTATAAGTAAGATACCCTAACCTTAAACCCTGACACGACACAGCGACACTCTAATACTAGGGAGAGTGCCGCTGGTCGGCTCAGGGTTAGCGTTAGGGTTAGGCATAAGGTTGGCATATAGCTAACCATGCCAGTCCATGCGCCACTCAAGACGGTATAAACTATCCCTAAGGTCAGGTTGAGGCATCATGCCAGTCCACCATTAGTTAAGGTTAGGGGTTAGGGTCCAGGTTACCCGCCCTACCCACCCCGGAACTGTGTGATCGGAGGTCGGAAAAACTTGTGTGGTTTCGGTACGTTCCGTGGTACATATTGTACATAGCAACGGTTACGTAGCGACATTGCCAAGGTGGATGAATGTGTGAAACTTGGAAACTAGGTTTGAGATGGCTTTGGAAATAACATTGTATGTGAGTACGATGCAGTATAAATGATAACCTGTATTGGTGCATGTGCGAGTGTTGGTTTTGTTCTTTCGGTGGCCATACTGATTTTTCCTGCTATCGCTATGGTTGTCGATGATAGTGAGCTGTTCAGGTCTATGGTTATTGGGAAGTATGAAAGTGTTGAGGACCTTGTGAAGCGGGTGCAACGTTTTCAGATTGCGACGGCGACTTGTTTTTCCCGTGCATCTTCCAAGTCTGCTGCGGCATACCATCGTGGAAGGAGGAAGCCGGTTCCCGATGGGGAATGCTGCGGTTACATCATGTACCGTTGCGTTCATCGTAAACGTTCAGCACCACGTGGCAAGCGGTAAGTTGTATAATTTTTTGGCAACAAGGCCACTAACGCCTGTAGATACAAATCGTACGATTGCAAGGCTCGGTTCTCCGTGGTTTTTAAAGATGGGAAATATGTCGTGGGGAGTTACGTCATGACGCATAGTCATGATTTTCACTTGGGCAACCCATGGTTGTATGCAGCGAACCGTCGTCTTTCTCAGGAGCAAGAGAGGGAAGTTCTGCGTTTGATGGGTAGTTTCCATAGTACCCCGGATTTGCGTCATTTTATTTACTTGGAGTACGGAAAAATGGTAACTCGCCTAGACCTGTATAATTTGCGGATTCGTCATCGGAATGGGAATGCTTGTGAAGTGTCAGATGTGGCAACCATGTTGCAAGGACACGGTGCGTGTCGGTTGGTGTCCGAGGGTAGTCAAATACGTTACGTGTTTTTCTCTCCATCGTTAGTTGGCGGCATTGTAAGTCGTTATTGTGAGGTGCTTTTATGCGATGCGACCCATCAACTGAATTATGGCGGCTACATTTTGTGGCACTGCATGCTGGTTGATGTCACCGGTCTGGGTATTTCATTTTTCTACGCCCTATTACCGGATGAGACATCCTACAGCTATGGGCAGGCGGTTGAGGCGATGCGGGATATGGTGCCTAGCACCTTACGTTGCCGCACGGTGGTGATGGATAAATGCGCTGCTCAGATCCGCGCGTTCAGACGATTTTATCCCAACGCGAAGGTGGTTTTTTGTCGTTACCACGTTAAAGTGGATATGTCTAGACGTTGCGGCCGCTTACGCGGGATCTCTGATCCGCGTAGGATGCAATTACGAGTTTGGCTGCATAACCTCATATACACACGTGACGCCTCGGTGTCTGACAGGATATTGAACGCGGTGGGCAGGGCGTCTCCTGAATTGTACCGTTGTTTGTGCGCGACGTGGATTCCCCACGCGGACTCTTGGGCGGCGCACAGACTCAGGGATACCATTCTTTTTGGTTGCCACACCACCAACAGGGTGGAGAATGAAAACCGACATTTGAAGGAATACCTGTCGGAGAGGTCCTTCCTACTCACCCTGTTCAATTGCGTGGTTGATAGGGTCAACACACTGGTGCACCGAAGGAACAGCATACTAGGTAGGCGGTGCATGAGCGCAATTGCTGTTCCATCGGAGGTGTCCTCAGTGGCTTCCGTATTCTGCAAACTAAGCGATTTTGCGGGGGATGTTTTCATGCAGCATTTCCGTACGTCGACGGTTCTCAGTTGTAGGGCTGATGGGCCTTACTGGTTGGTTAACTGTCCTCGTTCGAGAGTGCGCCGAGTGTACATAACACGGGGCAGTGAATGCGATTGTGAGTTTCATCGGCAGTGGCGGCTGCCATGTGCTCACATTTGTTATGTGGCGGCGCGGCACCCTCACGCTGCGCGGAACATCCTCCATGGATGTCGCTGGATCGCACCCCGGCTACCTGCAACAGCGTCATCGGAGTCCGTTGCGTCAGCTGAGAGGGTGCAGATTGTGCAACGTAACGCGGTGGATGGCGATGCAGTTTTGAACCGCACGTTGAAACTTCGCAGGACGCAGCATGTCTTAGGGGACATTGGCGCTCAATTGGTTTCCTACGGCTCGCAGAACTTTTCTGGTGTCTTGAATTACCTAAAAATGGTTGCCTTGCTGATGTCCAAGGACCCCACTTTTCAGTTGTATGGGCGAACATCAAGGTGGCCTGTACCCCTTCATTTGGATACAGAGGAGAACGTCCGCATCTTATGCGGCTTGCCTACTGCAGGAACGTCTGATGGTGGCTCAGTCTCTGCGGTATGCCCCACGTCGACAGGAGAAGCGGGTGGCCCTTTGCAAGGTACCCAGTTGAATGAGGTGGTGCGTGCGAATGAAACGGATACACCTGTTCCATCAACATCGACAGGTGGGTCCAGGAAACGGAAATCGCCCCTTAAGTGCAGGGTGACAGAGGTTAGCCCGGATAAGAGTGCCCTAAGGGACAAACGATTCCGTAACCTTCGCACCCGGACATCCACGGGCTACCGGGTTCCTGTGAGACAGAAACGGGGAAATCAGGGCTTCGTTTCGGCGGATGTATGCGGAGTATGTCATCAAGAGGACGATGTTGATTCTCATGGACATTCGGTGCAATGGGTCCAGTGCGACGCGTGCTCCCACTGGTACCACGCGTCCTGCGTGTGCTATTTTGGTGCGGACGAATTTCTGTGCTTCTCCTGCTCGTCCTAGTGTAACCGTAACGTGCTTGACCGCGGTTGCATGGTACACGCCTCAGGTATGTACCTTATCTGTGCCCTTACCCTGAGTGCATTTCCCTTACAGCATGCTGTGCTTACTTTTCCCCTTGATGTGAACACCTTTGAATTTCATTGGATCAAGGCGCCGAGAGATCTGCAGCACGGAGGGAACATTGTGCAACGGTAAGTTACTCCTAGTATTTCGGTTACGGACGGTCCTTTAGCCACCGTAATTCAGTTGTCATTTATGCAGCGGAAATCAATGACAGTGCATGTGTTCCTACGTACCGGTAGGTACTCAGATAAATGTGTTACCCATGCTTACAGGACCTCAAATGTCATGGAAGCATCCTCACAGTTATTCGTTCTCTTGCTTCATGGTTGTTGTTTATCACCGGAACGCGTACACACGGAGAAATGTTTTCCAAGTTCGCGCTGTCATATGTCATCGCAGGTAAGAAGTAGGATGGATGTGTAATTTTGTGTTGTAGTTAAACCAACGTGTAATGCCGATAGTGTGTTCATAAATGTGGGACACGGAGCCACCTCGGGCGCTTCGCCACCGCCATGTGAACCTGCCATGACAGCTTTTCACAGGTAACAAATCCGATCTATGTGCAATGGTGTTTTACAGTGAAGCCGACATGCACCGCCCATAGCCTGCCCATTCACTTCCGCCACTGAGGCACCTCTGACGGATCCACCAACGCAATGTTAACCTGCAATCGCAGTTGTTCACAGGTAAGGAAAGCCATTCTGGTGTAATCTTGTTTTACAGTGTAGCCCACATGCACCGCCCATTCGTTGCCCATTCACGTAAATGACACCATAGGCTACGTTGAAATAAATAGACAAATGGGCTTTAAGTTAAATGGGACGGTGTTTCTTGGGATCTTTTCCAGTTAAGCCTCGCCACTAATGCAAAAAGAGCACGCGCAAAAAGTTAAGCCCCGCCACTAAGGCAAAAAGGGTACACCTGAAAAGTCAAGCCCCGCCACTGTTTCCCAGCTCCAGTGTACGTAATGCATGTGAACGTGCCCCATAAAAACACTCCTTATCCGCTTCTAAGGTATTTTTGTCCAAAAAGTTTCTACGTTCGCACGTAAAACCTGACATGAACTTTCTGACGCTCTCGGCGGTCGTTGATGACAAGGAAACAGCAATACGTTTTTGCAAAGCCATGGAGTGACTCATCATCAAGGTTTATGCAGACGAGGACACCAAATGACACTTTCAACTGTTTCTGACAGGTGGAGGGGTGATGCCCGACAGTGTCGGCAAGAAATCGGTCTCCGAAAGGGAAGTTGGCTGGAGCGGTCTAGGATGGATTTCAGGACAATAATCCTATTCATTTATTGCTGGTCCAAAAATCTGACAACAATCAAATTCTGCTCAGAGGAGTTATCGATTGGCCACGCGACCGCTGTCGACTGGAAGAACTTTCTGCGTGAAATTTGCGCCTGGCAGCTTTTGCAGACTCCAACGACTGTCGGCGGCCCAGGTCTACATGTCGAGATCGATGAAACCCTAATATCACGTCGTAAAAACCATGCAGGGCGTCCTTCACCAGCAGTGCCAGATCGAACTGCGGCCACTCTGCTGGACACAATCCAGGCCTGCATCGCTCCCGGCTCAATTATCATTTCCGATATGTGAGCAGCATACCAAGGCATTGAATCGATGATTGGCATGAGTTCTACTCATCAAACGGTTAATCATACCGAAAACTTTGTGGATCCAACGACTGGAGCTCACACACAAACCATCGAACCTCTCTGGCACATTTACAAGATGCAGAATAAGCGCCAATGCGGCACACATCGATCTTTAGTGGACAGCTACATGTGTGAGTTCGTTTGGAGGCAGACACCGAAAAATGGACCTTTTCATGCAAATTACTAATGACTTGTCTCAATTTCACCCTCTTCAATAGAGAGTAAAAGTTCAAGTTTCATATCCTCCCTTTTCATAATCTTTTTTGGGTGGCGGGGCAAAACTGGAAAACATCCGTTTTTCGCATGCAAACCGGACAACGTAATCATCGTGGGAAAGAAACCGTATCAAATCGTCTCCGTGCACCCGGACGTGGGTACAACTGCATATGTGAACTGCGCATCTTACATAAATCTAAGAGATTTATACAATCACAGTATGCCATCGTCCAGGCTACACATTTATGTTGCCAACGGTGTGTCTAATGACTTGCAGCGCTTTCCTATTCATGAAATCCTATGCAAATGCGTATGTTTCATCGTCGGTTTAGACGAAGTCATCATCCCATTGTTGCATACATTTGGAACGCAAAAACCCAGGATGCCGTAGCTTTGCGTTCTTGTTGCTGTATGCAATGATGACAAGGTATGCGTTGTGCGAGATCCCCTAAGATATAGTGTTAACCGCCCTTGCCCGCTATGCGTCCGTATTAATGGTGTGCCAATGTCATGACAACGGCCGCATTAAAGACTGCGGAACGCTACTGCATGCAGCGCTGATTACACTACGTTTGGTGGCAGCTTACATTTTGCAGGGGCAATTAGACATGCGTTTTATCCGCACAGTAAATATGACGATTTCATTATCCTAGTTGTTACACGTTATCCGGAAACGCCCAAAAAACGCAAAAAGTTTTGAAAACGACAAAAAATAATTCAAAATTTTTGAAAACCCAAAAAATGCGGATGATTTTGACAACACGTACTCAACTACCTCTGTTCCTTTGCGCCCACAGCCTTCGGTAAGTACCGTTGTTTATGATGTCCCAGTTATGCAATGTCACCTCACTAATATCCCTTGCACTTACGAACAGGGCAAGATGGATCGGAAGGGAACTTGCGAAATTTACGACCTGAGGAACCTTGGACGCCCACGAACTTGCTTTATTTTGTGTTTTGAAGCCATTAGGGAGGACACGGGTGGGAGCCCGCTAGGGTCCGATCGCCTGGTTCTCCCCAGCAGCTGCATCAGGTTTCACCACCTGGTCTTGCAGAAGGCTGGCCCGCGACGGACGGTCCTCACGTAGATCGAAGGGTCACTCACCGTTTCATCTCCGAAGGGGCCTGTGTAGTGACCTGGAGATTTCCCCCAGTGTGATTGTGTAGATTAAAGTAAACCAATTATTAAATCTAGCTTTTCATCTATTGGGGTATGATGCGGTTCCGTTGCCCAAGATGTTTGAGCCCCTTTGTTTGAGGCAGCAACACCACATGCATCCTTGCCTATCGCGACCCCCACATGCATCTACATGTACGCACGCACTCAAACGGCAGATACATATTCCCTAGCTAGCTTTCCTACGGTGCCTTATTTTTAGCAATAGGTAACTATTCCGCATTAAAATATACTGTTTCCATAGAGTACTTCAGAGTGTTCGATCTGTAGTCTGTGGTTGGCTGTGTTGCCCGCGTTCCCGCTTTTGCGGGGGCGTCCAGGAGTGGAATGCTCACGGTAATCATGCATGTCATTGCTTCTACAGATATGCTGCTGTGGGATTTCTGCGTTGTCACTTACACGCACGACGGTGTGTCCCAGGTGAGCACAATTAGCAGCAGGTGGCTGTTGGGAGACGGGCAGCATGGTATTTTGCCCAACCTTCCCCTCTTCGATTACCATCAGGCGGTGCGCGAGCACAGATACCCCATTGCGGATTGTAAAATGTTTCCCGTGACCGTGCTTCATCGTACCGGTAAGCACATTCATTTAATCAATTGCAGTGCATTTCGAGGACGCACGCCGAGTGGAGAGGTCGTTCGCGGATCCACCTCCTGCTACGGACACAGATTCCACCATCCCCATGCAAACATCATCGAAACGAGTTATGTAATGCGCTACACAAGTGATAAGGCAATGCATTGCAGACGCCTGCCAGCGAGACTACGTGATTATGGGAATGATAATCCACCAACGAGGAAAAGACGCAGCAACGATCACGAAACTGCAAGCAATGGGAGGTTTCCTGATTTCTCGTTAGAGGAGTTGGCGCGGCCTAGCACGCCTACTCAGAATGTTGATGACGTCCAGGAGGATGCCGACATGCGTAAGTTCCTATTATATATGAAACAGTTACTGTGATGTCCCTTTTCCGCAGCAGGTCCCTGTAATGAAATAGCCGTTCAAACGGAGGGTATCACATGCTGTAAGTCTTGACGTTCTGCGCTTTAGATACACGCACTGGCAGGCAGGTGTCATGAAACAGACAAAAGGGTTATGCACACATTGCACACTGTAGCAGGTATGGTTGACCTTCTTACTTGCGCCGAATTCTATGCAGAGGAACTTCGCAAGCGGGAGCAAGACCGCAATACCCTACGCGGCGTACTTGGTACGTGCTCCCTGACATGCGTATTACGGAAATAATTATCAGATTCACTTAGGCGCGTGGAGGAGACTCTTCAAGTTTTGAAGGAGAACCACGCGTCCATGAGCCAAGCCATGTGGACTGCAAGACCGATGCAACCAACTGAGTTATCTCTACCTACCTCCAACATTGAGGAATTCATGGAGTTGGAGGGAAAATTAGTGGATCCCGAACTCAGTCGAGAACTGGTAAGTCACCTTCCTGGGAGTTTACATTCATGACTTAGACTAATCACATGAACTCAACACCCGCCGGCACGGTATCTGAGGCTGTTCGATACACGCTGGAGAGGGTAATGAACAGAGATGTCTTGCGGCAGCTAAACTTCGCCGGGGCAAACAATGCCATACCATTCAAGAAGACACATACATTCAGTGCGCTTCAAGGTAACTCAGATAACCTTTCCCACTTTATCTTCCTTCACAGAAGTTATCGTTAACCGATTTGGGGTCACGGGCAACGCCGTTGCGAACGGCGTTTGCAAATGGCTACAGATTACCCGGAGCAACATGCACCGGCGTACATCTGCCACATCAAGCAGTCAGGAATCGCAGGTATTGTGTACCTTTAATGCCGTACATAACGGTTTCATTCACAGCCTTTGGATTTGATAGATTTAGACAATCAAAGCATTCGTGAAACACGGACAAACATGTAAATGTTTACATGCATAATAATATACATTTGTAACCATTTCCTGGTGTGCTTCAATCGCTGTCTGGGATTTCCGCGTATGTTATAGGATGTCACCGTCTCGGCGCGTATTGTGACTACTGCTTCCGACTACTGCGTGACTGGAAGGAAGGCACTGCAGGCCATGGTCTTTCATTTATCAGAAGACAGGGACAACTACGTTGCGCGGTTTCATGTTTCGCAGTAGCTGATAACCTACGCTCGTTCACATTTGCATTAAGATGTCAGCCAGCTTTTGCAATGGTGTGGGATTGACTGCCTCACAAATGCGGTATTTACTCCCTGGTAATTTCGTTACCTAGTCGGACGGGGAGAAGGGAAATCAGGCTGCAAATACCCTATGGGTAAGTGGACAATGTACTCTTCGCAGCAGTCTGCTTAGGTATTGCTTTCATTTATTGTGCGTCCACATTTTTGAAAACGTTCACTGGGCAGTGCACGGCAAAAGTACGACCGTTTCCGGTAGGTTATGAAAGGAAACCGTGATATACTAATAGCTTCATACCGATTACTTAGGAGCACGTGGCTTACGCCATAAGGAGAAACCTCTTCCTGTAGGCTTCCCGAAAGCCTTGAATCGCGTCGCTCATGTGAACGTTACCCTTTGGTAAGGTAGCCCATTAACTAAGAGATCTCTTACTTTCGCTTCCTTATTACCAAGAGCATCCCTCCAATTTACTTAGAAGAATCGTAGGATGGCGTCGAAAATCTTAGTATTGCTTCCAAAGTACGAAGAGCAACCTTCGTATATATTGCGAGAAACCTTAGTATAGCTTCGTCAGTAAGGTGACCGACGTTCGCACGTACTAAGAGAATTCACCGTATTGCTTCGTAATTACGGAGCGCAGCCTTCGTATTTACTGAGAAAAACCTCCGTATATACTAAGGAAAACCCCAGTATTGCTTCGTATTTACGAAGAGCAGCCTTCGTATTTAGTAAGAAAAACCTTCGTTTACCTCTGTAAGTGCGGTCCGTCTGTCATGTGATTGGTTGCGTACGCCGTACGCAATCACCTGCGCACCATGAACTGCACAACTCATTGGTGCACAGTCACCTTCGTATTCCTCGTGTCACTCAGCGGCAAACACTAAGATTTTACGAAGCGAAATCTCAGTTTACCTTCGTAAAACCTTCGTACTCCGCCCGGACACGTATAACGAAGAAAAACCTTAGTTTACCCCCGTATTTGCTAGCAGGGTTGTTTGCATACCATTTTGTCCCGGAAATAGAAGTGCGCGGTCATTTGATTGCTCCCCGGTTTCCCTGTTGCTCTCCTTGTCGGTACGTCCATTATTCACCTCACCCAGGCCTTTTTGTCCAACCAGCCTTACGTAAGCGTATATTAAGTTAATATTTCATGTTCTAGAGATGCGCAGTTGTTTAACAAGACGTCGTTCTTCGTTTGCGTTACCTTCTGCAAACACATTAAGAATGCGATTGCTGCTTTTACGTAGACTCGCTGAGCGTGAGGCATTCCGTGTGCGCGATTATAGCCCTACTGGTAACGTGGATGCAATTATGGGAGGTAAGGTTCACAGACAACCTTTTATTGTGATTGTAGACCGCTGCATCTCGCCACGGCGTAACTTTTCAGATGCTGACTACAACGGCTGGGTACGCGATTCCACCGACGTACTTTCCATTCAGTCATCAATGACGAAAACCGAGAGTGATGAGGTGAAAACCATGAGCTGCCAAATAGGGGAGCATGATTGCACTGCACTAGATGTGACTACGTCACCGAAGCCGTGTGATGAGGCACGTACTTTCCTGGCATCATGGGTGCTTAATACCAACACCTCGGCTTCGGCTGTTAACAAGCCTCTGGAAGGGCTGCGTAAGTTTATACCGTCTCTACCGAAGGATTACCGGACGTTGATGAAAACTCCAAGAACCACTAACGAGATCGAGGTACATCCTGGTACGTATGGTCACATGGGGATAATTTACGGTCTGAAGATGAATTACCGGTGCGAAAGTGTGCCCACCTCCCAGAGCATTCAACTGCAGTTGCATGTGGATGGGTTCTCACCATTTAATTCCTCCGGTGTGCAAGTGTGGCCCATTTTGTGTAGGTCGGTGGAGCCCTTGATATCTGAACCCTTTGTGGTTGGTGTGTACTCGGGGCCACGCAAACCGTGGAATGTACATCACTTCTTGGCTCCACTTGTAACTGAATTGAGAACGTTACTTCGAACAGGCGTGCTATTGCCCGGTCGACCTACACCAAACGCGGTCCGTATCTCTTGTATCATTTGTGACGCACCAGCCAAAGTATATGTGAAGCGTAGCAAAGCACATTCTGGGTACGGCAGCTGCGACAAATGTGTGCAGCGAGGTGTTTATGTCTCTGGGAAAGTAACCTTTCCTTGCACCGATTGCCGCCTGCGTACCAATGAGTCCTTCCGTGCGCACTGCCGTAGCAAATGGTCACCATTTGAATACTTGCCCATAGATATGGTGGAGCAGTTTCCTATAGACTATACGCATGCTGTTTGCTTGGGTGTTATGAGACGCCTGATATCATTGTGGACAACTGCAGCGGCTAGCAAGGATTTTCGCTTGGATATGGACACTGTGGCACGTCTTAACGATGTGCTTGACATGAATCGGTGTCATTGGCCGCGTGATTTTCCACGCCGTTGTAGAAGCGTGGATAAGTTCAGATGGTGGAAAGCGTCTGAATTTCGGCAATTCTTGTTGTATGCCGGACCAACGGTTCTGGCGGATATTTTGCCCCTGGACTATTAAGTCAATTTCCTGGATTTCCACTTAGGTATTTATCTGCTTTGTCATCCATTGCTATTCAGAAAATGTTCCTCTTTTCCACATAATGTACTTATGGTGTTTATTTCGCGTTCCTTCCAACTTTACGGGGCTGAAGAAATGACATTCAACATGCATTCCCTGTGTCATTTGGCACAAGATGCGTATAGACATAGGACACTGGATGATTTCTCCGCGTTCCGTTTCGAATCTTGCATAATGTGTCTGAAAAGGCGAATACGAAACCCAGTGAACATCGTACCTCAGCTTTTGCAACGGTGTATGGAGTTCCAGGGAAACTTTTGCAAGGGTAATCAGCCTTCCAACTTATGTGAAACTATAGCCTACGTCGAAATAAATAGGCAAATGGGTTTTAAGTTAAATGGGACCGTGTTTTTCCCATGCAAACCGGACAACGTAATCATCGTAGGAAAGAAACCGTATCAAATCGTATCGTTGCAACCAGACGTTGCTGCAACCGCATATGTTAACTGCGCATCATTCCTACATCTCAGAGATTTATACGTCCATAGTATGCCATCTTCCAGGCTGCACATTTATGTTGCCAACGGTGTGTCTGATGACTTGCAGCGGTTTCCTATTCATGATATCCTATGCAAATGCGTATGTTTCACCGTCGGTTTAGACGAAGTCATCATCCCATTGTTGCATACATTTGGAACGCAAAAACCCAGGGTGCCGTAGTTTTGCGTTCTTGTTGATGTATGCAAGAATCACAAGGTATGCGTCCTGCAGGATACCCTTACATAGGGTGCTAACGGCATTTGCCGGCTATGCGTGTTTATTAATGGTGCGTCAACGGCAAGCAACGCCCGCATTAAAGAGTATTGAACGCTATTGCATGCGGCGCTGATTACACAACGTCGGGTGTCAGCTTACATTTTGCAGGGGCAATGGGACATGCGTTTTATCCGCATTGTATATGTGACCATTTCATTATCCTTATGGTAACACTTTATCTGGAGACGGAAAAAAAGCAAAATGATTTTGAAAAAGACAATTCAAAAATTTTGAAAACTCAAGGAATGCGGCCCATGTTGATAACAGGTATTCAAGTACCTCTATTCCTTTGTGCCCACAGCCTCCGGTAAGTGCCGCTTTTTGTTATGTCCCAGTTATGCGAGATCACGTCAGTAATTTCCCTTGCACTAACCAACACGGAAAGATGGATCGGAGGGGAACTTGCAACATTCACGACCTGAGGAACATTGGAAGACCACGAAGTGACTTAATGTTGCGTTTCTGGCACCATTACGGATGACACGCATTAAAATATACTCCTTCCATAGATTACTTCCGAGTGTTCGATCTGTAGTCTGCGGTTGTTTGTGTTGTCCGTGTTCTCGCTTTTTCCGGGGGCGTCCAGCAGTTGGATGCTTACGGTAATCACGTATGTAATGGCTTCTACAGATATGCCGCTGTGGGATTTCTGCGTTGTCACTTACACGCACGACGGTGTGTCCCAGGTGACCACAATTAGCAGCAGATGGCTTTTGGAGGACGGGCAGCATGGTCTTTTGCCAACCTTCCACTGTTCGATTACCACCAGGCGGTGCGGGAGCATAGATACCCCACAGCTGATTGTAAAATGTTTCCAGTGACGGTTCTTCATCGTACAGGTAAGCACATTCATTTAATCATTTGCAGTGCATTTCGAGGACGCACGCCGAGTGGAGAGTACCGTCGCGGATCAACGTCATGGGACGGACACCGATTGCACCATCCCCATGCAAACATCACCGAAACGAGTTATGTAATGCGCTATACAATTGATAACGCAATGCAATGCAGACGCCTGCCGGCGAAACTTCGTGATTACGGGGATGATAATGTACCAACAAGAAAAAAACGCTGCAACGCTCCTGCATCTGCAAGCTATGGGAGTTTTCCTGATTTCTCGTTGGAGGAGTTGGCGCGGCATACCATGCCTCCTCAGAATGCTGATGACGTCCAGGAGGATTCCCACATGCGTAAGTTCCCTTTTCCGTAATTCCGTTTTCCGCAACAGGTGGATGTAATGAAGTATCCGTTCAAACGGAGGGTATCAAATGCTGTAAGTCTTCCGGTTTTGCGCTTTAGATACACGCCCTGGCAGGCAGGTGTCATGAAGCAGACAAAAGGGTCATGCACACTTTGCACGCTGTGGTCGGTATGTTTGAGCTTCTTACTTGCGACGAATTAGCAGATTCACTTAGACGCGTGGAGAAGACCCTTCACGTATTGAAGGAGAGCCACGCGGCCCTGAGCCAGGCCATGTGGACTGCCAAACCGATGCAACCGAACGAGTTATCTCTACCTACCTCAACCATTGAGGAATTCATGGATTTGGAGGGTAAATTGGTGGACCCCGACCTCCGTCGAGAACTGGTAAGTCACCTTGGAGGATTTCGCATTCATGACTTAGACTACCCGCATGAACTCAACACCCGCCGGCACTGTATCGGAGGCTGTACGATACATGTTGGACAGGGTTATGAACAGAGACGTCTTGAGGCAGCTGAACTTCGCCGGGGCAAACAATGCGATACCGTTCAAGAAGACGCACACATTCAGTGCGCTTCAAGGTAACTCAGAAAACTTTCCCACATTATCTTCCTTCACAGAAGTTATCGTTAATCGATTTGGGGTCACGGGCAACGCCGTTGCGAACGGCGTTTGCAAATGGCTACAGATTACCCGGAGCAACATGCACCGGCGTACATCTGCCACATCCAGCAGTCAGGAATCGCAGGTATTGTGTACCTTTAATGCCGTACATAACGGTTTCATTTACAGCCTTTGGATTTGATAGATTTAGACAATCAAAGCATTCGGGAAACACGGACAAACATGTAAATGTTTCCATGCACATTAATATACATTTGTAACCATTTCCTGGTGTGCTTCAATCGTTGTCTGGGATTTCCGCGTATAGTATATCATGTCACCGTCTCGGCGCGTATTGTGACTACCGCTTCCGACTACTGCGTGACTGGAAGGAAGGCACTGCAGGCCATGGTCTTTCATTTATCAAAAGACAGGGACAACTACGTTGCGCGGTTTCATATTTCGCAGTAGCTGATAACCTACGCTCGTTCACATTTGCATTAAGATGTCAGCCAGCTTTTGCAATGGTGTGGGATTGACTGCCTCACAAATGCGGTATTTACTCCCTGGTAATTTCGTTACCTAGTCGGACGGGGAGAAGGGAAATCAGGCTGCAAATACCCTATGGGTAAGTGGACACTGTACTCTTCACAGCAGTCTGCTTATGTATTGTTATCATTTATTGTGCGTCGCCATTTTTTATAACGTTCACTGGGTAGTACGCGGCAAACGTACGACCGTTCACGGTAGGTTATGAATGGGAACCGTTAGATACTAATAGCTTCATAGCGATTAGTTAGAAGCATTTCGCCTAGGCCATAAGGGGAAACCTCTTCCTGTAGGCTTCGCGAAAGCCTTGAATCGCGTCGTCCATGTGAACGTAACCGTTTGGTAAGGTAGCTTGTATCTACAAAGAGCGGCCCTGATATATACTAAGGAAAATCCGCCATTTACTAAGAGAACTCTTACCTTTGCTTCGTCATTTCCAACAGCAGCCTTCCCATTTACTTAGAAGAATCGTGGCATGGCCTCGAAAAGCTCAGTATTGCTTCCTAAGTACCAAGAGCAGCCTTCGTATATATTGAGAGAAACCTTCGTATAGCTTCGTCATTACGGAGAAGCGCCTTCGTATTTACTAAGGAAAACCTTCGTATTGCTCCGTCAATACGGGGAACAAGGTTGGTAAATACTAAGAAAAACCTCCGTATTGCTTAGTAATTACGAAGAACAGCCTTCGTATTTACTATGAGAAACCTTCGTATATACTAAGAAAAACCTCCGTATTGCTTCGTATTTACGAAGAGCAGCCTTCGTATTCACTAAGAAAAACCTCCGTATTGTTTCGTAATTACGAAGAACAGCCTTCGTATTTACTATGAGAAACCTTCGTATATACTAAGAAAAACCTCCGTATTGCTTCGTATTTACGAAGAGCAGCCTTCGTATTTACTAAGAAAACCTTCGTATTGCTCCGTCAATACGGAGAAACGAAGGCTACGCTTCGTATTGACGAAGAAAAATCTTCGTTTACCTCCGTAAGTGCGATCCGTCTGTCATGTGATTGGTTGCGTACGCCGTACGCAATCACCTGCGCACCATGAACTGCACAACTCATTGGTGCACAGTCACCTTCGTATTCCTCGTGTCACTCAGCGGCAAACACTAAGCTTTTACGAAGCGAAATCTCAGTTTACCTTCGTAAAACCTTCGTACTCCGCCCGGACACATATAACGAAGAAAAAACTTCGTTTACCTCCGTATTTGCAGGGCCCTGCGAATTCGTTTTGCTTCGTCAATGACGAACCTTTACGAAGCTTAGTCTTAGTTCAGCTTCGTCATTTACGAACCAATACCAAGGTAGTCCTTCTGTTTCCTATGTACATATCTGATTGGTCCGAAATCATTACAAATGAAGTTGTTTGTTGAACAATCTTAACTTACGTATAATTGAATAAGGCGATTATCAAGAAAAGTATACTGCGCAAATGTTGGCAGTAAGGTAAGCTTTTGCGTCTGTTTGTATACATTTTTGTACCGGAAATCGAACTGCGCGGTCATTTGATTGCTCCCAGATTCCCTTGTTGCTTACCGTGTCGGTACGTCCGCTGTTTTGCTCACCAAGGTCTTTGTGTCCAACAACCCTTACGTAAGCGTGTATTAAGTTAATGTTTGATGTCTTAGAGATGCGCAGTCGTTTAACCAGGCGTCGTTGTTCCTTTGCGTTACCTTCCGCACGCACATTAAGAATGCAACTGCTTCTTTTGCGTAGACTTGCTGAGCGCGAAGCAGTCCGTATGTGAAAAAATAGCGATCCAAGTAACGTGAATGTTTTCTTAGGAGGTGAGGTTTCCAAGCATAAATTTATTGTGATGGTAGACCACTGCATGACGCAACAGAGTAACCTTTCGCATGCTATCGACAGTAGCTCTGTACCCACATCAACCGATGTGCTTTCACTTCAGTCCTCACGGATGGAAACGGAGAGTGAGGAGGTGGAATCAATGACGTGCCACCCAGAGGAACATGAATGCACAGCTTTAGATGTGACCACGTCACCAAACCTGTGTAATGACGCACGAAAGTTTCTGGCAGCATGCGTGCTTAATAACAGCACTTCTGCTGTTGTTGTTAACAGGCTTCTTGAAGGCCTGCGTAAGTTTATACCGTCTTTGGCGAAAGATTATCGCACGTTAATGAGAACTCCAAGAACCACGAACGAGATCGATGTAGATCCCGGTACCTATGGGCACATGGGGATAAGTTACGGCCTTAAGATGGCTTACCGGCGCAAAAGTGTGGCTGCGTCCGAGAGCATACACCTACAGTTGCATGTGGATGAGTTTTCATCAATTAATTCCTCCGGTGTGCAAGTGTGACCCATTTTGTGTAGGTTGGTGACGCCCTTGTTATCCGATCCCTTTGTGGTTGGTGTGTAATCGGGGACACGTAAACCCTGCCATGTACATCATTTTTTGGCTCCACTTATAACTGAATTGGAAAGGTTACTTCGCACGGGCGTGCTATTGCTATTCCGTAGCTAGCTCGAATTCGGTGCCTTATTTTTAGCATTAGCTAACTTTGCTTCCGTTCAATAAACCATTTCCATAGCTTACTCTTGTGTGTTCTATCTATAGCCTGTGGTTGGCTGTGTTACACTATTTTGTTCCATTGCGGAGGGCATGGAGGAGCTGAATGCATGCGATAATCATGCATGTCATTGCTTCTGTAGATATGCCGTTTTGGGATTTCTGCGTGGTTAATTATATGCACAACGACGTCCTGCAGGTGGACACAATAAGCAGGTGGCTGCTGGAAGATGAGCAGCACGCTATTTTGCACAACCTTCCCCTCTTCGAATACCATCAGGCGGTGAGGGAGCACAGATATCCCACTCCGGATTGCAAATGTTCCGTGACCGTGCTTCATCGTACAGGTAAGCGCATTCATTTCATCATTTGCAGTGGATTTCGATGATGCCCGCCGCGTGGAGAGGTCGTACGTGAATCAACCTCCTGCCACGGACACAGATTCCACCATCCCCATGCAAACGTCGCCGAAACGAATTATGTAATATGCTACACAGGTGATAACGCATTGCGTTGCAGACGCCTGCCAGCTCGCCTACGGGACGCTTTGGATGAAAATCCCCCGACTAAAAAACGACGCACCAATGCTCCAGCAGCAGCAAGCTATGACAAGTACGGTGATTTCTCCGGTGCGTTCTTGCAGGCGCGGTCTTCAGCGTATACTCGTAATCTTGATGCTTTCGGCGAAAGATGAACTGCTAAGTTATTACTATGTATGAAAACATTACTGTGATGTGCAGGTTCCGCAGCAGGTCCTTCTAATCAAGTTGCCGTTCAAACTGAGCCTCACGTTGTAAGTCTTAACGTCCGTCACTATAGATACACACCTTGACATGCAGTGGTCATCACACGGATAACGGTTGTTGAGACATTAAAAGCTGTAGCTGGTATGATTAAGCTTATTAATTGCAAAAAGGATAGTTCCCATTCCCGATTAAGTTCAATAACTCCACTTTCTTGTTTTGCCGAATCAGAACTCTTTAGTAATATACGCCGCATTTCGGCCCACAAAGACAGAATAACCATGATTCTACAGACTGTCGTGAATCCCAGTTAGGTTACTTATAGTGATTAATGTGCGATTGGTTTCCCCGTCAAGCATACAGTTCACTTCGGAACGAAATGGGTATACAGGAGAGAACAGAGCAATGGAAATGTTCTACGGAGGCAAATGCAAGGGATAATTTGGGGCTATTAGGCAGTCACTCGTACGAAACCAGAATAAGTTACAAAAAGACCTGCCAACAAACACCTCAATGTACCTAACGACGGACAGGCTGAAAACACAACTAACTAACATTCGTGTTGCCACCACAAACCCTTAGGGTTAGCCTATTCATAAAACTCATGGGAACATGGGGTCACTTACCACGTGCTGTCTGTCGATGGAGAATCGGGATAAGTCGACGGCAGTCACAACTGCAGGCAGTGGAGTCGCAGCTGTAGTTCAAAACTCGGATGTGTCCTCCAAATTTGTGGCAGCAGCACCGATCCTGACCATTTGAATTTTTGCATTTATTATCCAGTTGGAGAGTGTCGGTGTGTCATCTCGCTTCAGCTACACTCCACCTATCCGAAATCCACACAAATTTGAGTAGTATCCTCGGCGAATATCCGCGAACCACCAACGGGGACTGGTTCGTTAACACGAAAGTGATCTGAGCGTATGTACTGCGGCAGTTGTCAAGGGCAGAAAGATATCCGAATGAGAGTTTTAGAACAATATCTTCAGGCCTTCGATGTATACTCAAAAACTGGGGTCTGAATTCCAGCTGTTCGTTTAGTCACGGAAACTCGTTTCGGAATTCATAAGAAACCACTTGTCGACTGGTGCGATGAAACCAGCGATTCACCCCTCTCACATGTCGTGAAGATACCAACTATTATAAGTA